CTATCTATCCATCCATTTATTTATTCATTCATATATATTTTTTTTGTTTTTTACTTTTTTTTTTGCGGTACGCGGGCCTCTCACCGCTGTGGCCTCTCACCGCTGTGGCCTCTCCCGCCACGGAGCACAGGCTCTGGACGCGCAGGCCCAGCGGCCATGGCTCACGGGCCCAGCCGCTTCTCTGCACGTGGGATCCTCCCAGACCGGGGCACGAACCCGTGTCCCCTGCATCGGCAGGCCGACTCTCAACCACTGCGCCACCAGGGAAGCCCCATTCATTTATTTTTTCCGCTCTTCATAAAATTATGGTTTTCTATATTTGACTAATACTATAAACACTACTTCTAATTAGGACGTTTTCATGGCTATTACATCACAGTTAAAATGTATTGATTTTCAGTAAATATTTATTTGGCATTTTCCCTCTGAATAGATGAAGGGTTGAGCAACTGTAAATAAAACCTGCAAAAGACTGAAGGAAATATTCATTCTAAGCCATTATACTTATTGAAATTAGCTGCCTATGCTAATCAAATAAATGAAAATACTCAATACAATTATTACTGTAGGGCTTCCCTGGTGGCGCAGTGGTTGAGAGTCCACCTGCCTGATGCAGGGGACACGGGTTCGTGCCCCGGTCTGGGAAGATCCCACATGCCGTGGAGCGGCTGGGCCTGTGAGCCATGGCCGCTGAGCCTGCGCGTCCGGAGCCCGTGCTCTGCAACAGCAGAGGCCACAACAGTGAGAGGCCTGCGTACCGCAGAAAAAAAAAAGTAGGGAAGTAGGGTGATCTTACATACCGATTAACCAGAGACATTTCCCATTTATGCCTTTTGTCCTGACATAATTATTAACAATGTCCTGTGTTACTCTCAAAACTGCTTTGATTTCCATGATAAATTTTATGGTCATCTTGACAAATGAGAACTCAGAGGTTTAATTTTACCACATTAAGCCAAAGAGTTGAATGAAATTTGATAATAATCACTTGCCTTTATGTTAAATTGGTATAGTCTTGTGTTAAGATTTTAATTCCCTTGTTGTGTATATATACATACATATATATAAATATTTGTTATTTCTTTAGTGGTTTCCTTGGGATTATTGTTAACATGTAAGTTTTAAGACCATCTATTTGTATTGAGTGACAATTTCAATAGTATGCAAACATTTTGCTCCAATATTGCTCTGCTTCCTCCCTCTCCATTGTGTTAGTGTTGTCATACTAATTACATCTTTATAGATTATAAGCCCATCGATACAGTCATATGATTGTTGTTTATACAGTTGTCTTTTAAATCAAATAGGAGAAGAAAAGAATTACCAAAAAAATGCATGTATGTAGTCTTTTATATTGACCTGTATATTTTTCATTACTGGTGTTTTTACTGCTTCATGTGGATTCAAATTATTATCTAGTGTTCTTTCACTTCAGCTTGAAGGCCTATGTTTAATACTTTTGTATTTTGTTTATTTTTTAAGGTCTTAAGTTCCTCCTCATTAAAAAAAATTGTTTATTTATTTATTTATTTTGGCTGTGCTGGGTCTTAGTTGCAGCGCATGGGATCTTTGCTGAGGCATGCAGGATCTTTTAGTGGTGGCATGCAGGCTCTTATTTGTGGCATGTGAACTCTTAGTTGCCACGTGCATGCAGGATCTAGTTTCCTGACCAGGGATTGAACCAGGCCCCCTGTATTGGGACCATGGAGTCATACCCACTGGACCACCAGGGAAATTCCCCCTCTTCATTTCTGGCTGGACATAAAATTCTTGTTTGACCGTCTTTTTCTTTCAGTGTTTGAATATGTCATCACACTGCCTTCTGGCCTTATTAGATTCTGATTAGAGGTCAGAATCTCACAGTTACTGAGGATCCTTTGTACATGTTGAGTCACATTTCTCTTGGTTTTCCAAGATTCTTTATCTTTGCTTTTCTACAGTTTGGCAATGATTTGTCTAGGTTTTGATCTCTTTGAGTTTATCACATTTGGGATCTACTGAGTTTTTCGAATGTGCAGATTAATGTTTTTCATCAAATTTGGAAAGTTTTTAATAATTATTTGTTCAGATATTCCTCCTGCTTCTTTCTCTGTCTCCTTTCCTTCTGGGACTTCCACTATATTTATCTTGGTACAACTGATGTTGTCACACAGGTCTCGATTAAGTTTCTGTTTATTTTTTTTCATTCTCTCAACTTCTCTGCTCTTTAGGCTGGATAATCTCAATCTATTTATCTTCAAGTTCATTGATTCTTTCTTCTGTCAGTTCTAATTTGATATTGAGCCCTTCTGGTGAAATTTTTATTTTGGTTATTGTAATTATCAACTCCAGAACTTGCATTTGGTTTATATATTATAATTTCTACTTCTTTGTTGATATTCTTTATTTGATGAAACATCATTCTCATACTTTTCTGTAATTCTTTAGTATGGGTTCCTTTAGTTCTTTAAACATATATGTAATAGCTGATCTAAGTCTTTGTCTAGGCAATCCGAAGTCTGTGTTTCTTCAGGACAGTTTTTATTTACTACCTTTTTCCTATAATAGCCATACTTTCCTGTTTCTTTGTGTGTATTGTAATTTTTATGTTGAAAATTGGACATTTAAAATAATATAACAAGGCCACTCTGGAAATCTAGAAATCCAAGGATTTGTTGTTTTTGCTATTGCTGTCTGTTTATTTAGTGACTTTCCAAACTAATTCTATAAGGTCTATATGTTTTGTTGGGTGTGGCCAATGAAGTCTCTGCTCAGGTAGCTTAGCGGTCAGTTAGGAATTAGACATTTCTTTAAATGCCTTTAACTAGTAAATCTTTTGACCTTTGCTGAGGGGCTGTGTGTGTGTGTGTGTGTGTGTGTGTGTGCACATGTGTGTATGCCTATGGGTTGAGGTATACTTTCAACCTCAGGCGGAAAGTTTTTATTATGTAAAAAATGAATTACTTTTTATACTATACATCTTCTGTGTCTTAAGTTAAAAGCAATGTAAAAATTCCTAAAACATTTTTTTTCCTAAAACATTTTTAAACAGCAAAAATCAGCACTGCTTCTTTCTAGTCTATACATTGCCTTTGTTTTCTAATTTAAAAAAATGACTTTCTTACTGTACTCAGACATCCCTAGAACCATGTGGCAATGCTTACAAACACCTTCTTTCTATAGCAAAATACTTGCTGTTCACAGAAATAAATGTGTCAGGCTTACATTAGACTTAGAGTGTAAATAATTGGGCAAGCAGAAGTCTTGAACAGATTGTCTGCTTAAATACCATTGTTAGTATAAAAAGTGTTACAGTGAAACCACGATCCCAAGAATTCACTGTAATTCTGCAATATGCCCTCCAGCATATGGAATGGGGATGTTTCAGAATGTTTTAAAATGTTCTGTTGCATTTGATATCTTTTTGTGTATACCCCAAAGCATGATTAGACATTTAATGTTCTTTAAATTAATAAAAATTCTGAATAAAACACTATGAAAAGCATCTGTAAAGGCTTGCTTCATCTAATTAAAGATTAAAGGGTTCTAAAGGAAATGCATGGTTAGAATTTGGAAGCACAGCTTCCAGGTTCCTTTTCAAACATCTTAGCACACTACTTTTCATAGTAAAACATATGCTTAATGCACAGAAGCTGCTGACTTTTGGGGTTCTTTATATGAGAGACTAAGTGAGAGAAAGGCCCCCCAAAATAAAGCATATCCTAAATACAAGCATGATATTAAATTAGCCTAAATATTTGTGATTTGTGTTTCCCATGTTTCACATAATTAGTAACGTCTAAGTTAATTGGCACATTTTAACTGCATCAAAATTTCACACCAGGGATATGTATTATCAATGGGAACCTACAAAGGTTTCTGAATCTCATACAAGAGTTCGTGCTTTAAACTGAAAATATCAATAGCTATTTAATGAATGCCTCGCTGAGATATCAAAATGTTACTTCAAAAGCTGTTTGTACAGTAGAGAATAATGAGGGAAGAATCTAAGATTTGTGGAAGAACTTCTCTTCTGAGTTACATCTTTAACTCTGTTCCCTATTAGACACATGCATTTTCTGATTTTCAGCATTGCAGTGGTCCACTGTGTGCTGAACACCACCATATGTAATTTAGCTCTTATCACGCCAGCGTGGCACTGTATTTTTGCCAGAAACTGGGGTGCAGAGCACTCATTCCCTGCAGTTTGTGATACACTTTGTCATGTGGAAATCTAAGAGGTATCCCTAGTGCCTTGTGGTTTTTTTTGTTTTTTGTTTTCTTTTTGCGGTACGCGGGCCTCTCACTGTTGTGGCCTCTCCCGTTGCGGAGCACGGGCTCCGGACGCGCAGGCTCAGCGGCCATGGCTCATGGGCCCAGCCGCTCCGCGGCATGTGGGATCCTCCCTGACCGGGGCACGAACCCGCGTCCCCTGCATTGGCAGGCGGACTCTCAACCACTGCGCCACCAGGGAAGCCCGTGCCTTGTGTTTTATGAAGACTTCATGGATATGATCTCTTAAGCCTGTTTACATTTTCTCTCTCTCCTTATAGGATTCCAAATTTGTCAAAGAGACCAAGCTGGGACTTGAATGCCATGCATACTCTTTATTCTCCAATCTCTCTCTATAGGCACTTGATCATTAAAATCTATTTCCTCCTCCTTGAGCCAAAAGAAATAGACAAAGAAGCAAACTAACAAATATATCAACTGATATAAATTAACTTCTCTTAGGCAAATCTCAAAAGCTCAGTAAAGATACTTAGATATCCCTGAATCACGATAATGGACATAGTCTAGGCTCAAACTGAGTTTTTTTTTCTTCTACATGTTGTACCAGCCAGGCAGCACCTCCAACTTCAGGGCTAAGTCCCAGTTCCATGAATCTCTTCCTCTGAGTTCCTGGGGTTTCAGTACCAACAAGCCATGGCTCCTCCTCAGGGGCTCTGCTGGGTCCTTCCTCTAGGCTTCCAGGTTCTTTTAAGTCTTTTGGCAGTGCCACACGACATGTGGGATCTTAGTTCCCAGAGCAGGGATTGAACCTGCGCCCCCTGCGTTGGAAGCACGGAGTCTTAACCACTGGACCACCAGGGACGTCTGAGGCTTCCAGGTTCTGATAACTCCTCCTTTCTTTTAGCCTTTGGGTGGCAGCTGCTCCCTGGGATTGCTTATCTCTTTTACCTCAGTGTCCCCCTTTCGCTTTTTCAGTTTTCTAATACGTATTTGATCTTTCATTTCATTAACTTGGTGTTGTTTTTGTTTTCCTGACTGGGCCCTGGTTGTACCAGTGTGGGACACCACAAGGCTGACAGGAGATGAATCATTGCCTCTGCCAGGATGAGAGACCTTTGCTGAGACAACGCCAATGAAATAGGAAGCCGACAGGAAGGGGCAAGCCCTTTCTTCAGCCCCAGCCTTCCTGCCTTCCTCTAACATCTTCTGTTGGTTGAGCCCAGCAGGGAGCCAGATGGCAAAGGAGGAATGTGCTTTGCAGAGTCTCAGCCCCAGTAACACAAACCCAAGTATAAAGGGTGGGTTTGGGGCTGAAACCCTTTATAATCGGCACACACAGTTTTGATCATTGCTCTTGAATATTAGTGACCTCAGCTGGACTTCTGATAGCGTTAGAAGTCAATGTATTATGTTAGGCACCAGGAAAAGGGGCATTCCACAGCATTAAAAAAACACTAATTTTTTTTGTTTTGGTCTTGAATACGTATAGAGATGTACATTTTTATTTCATTACTAAGAATTTTCATTTAGCAAAAAAAAAAGTGAATATGTGTGCATACTTTCCAAGATAATTTGATGGTTCTATAATTTAGAACTAGAAATCAGAAGGTAATAAAGATGGAGTTGTAGAGCTTAGTGTAACGTTCTGTTGAAAGACTTGAAAGTGCATGTGGACTCTGAACAGCAGAAAGTTATAGTGCTGAAGTCACAGTACTATCATGTTTTAATCTTTTTTTTTTTTAAGTAGAAGGATTTTTATTTCTTTTTTATTTTTGGCTGTGTTGGGTCTTCGTTGCTGCGTGCGGGCTTTCTCTAGTTGCGGCGAGCGGGGGCTACTCTTCGTTTTGGTGCGCAGGCTTCTCATTGTGGTGGCTTCTTTTGCTGAGGAGCATGGGCTCTAGGCATGTGGGCTTCAGTAGTTGTGGCGTTCGGGCTCAGTAGTTGTGGTGCATGGGCTTAGTTGCTCCACGGCACATGGGACCTTCGTGGACCAGGGCTTGAACCCGTGTCCCCTGCATTGGCAGCCGGATTCTTAAACACTGAACCACAACAGAAGCCCCTATCATGTTTTAATCTTTGCTTTAAAAACTATCTTTTTATTTTACTCAACTTATTTGTTAAATTAATACTTTTTTTCTTTATAAATGTTCAACTGAATCTTTTCATTCATTTTTTCATTTAAAAGTATTTATTGAGCACTTACCATGAGCCTGGAAATGTGCAGGGTATTAAGGATATAGTAGCAAAAAAAAAAAAAAAATCAGGATGTTTCCTGCTTTAAATGTCCAAAGATAGACATTAAGCAAGCGGTATAATAAAATTGTTGGGTTTTATTATAAGGAAAAATTGTTAGTTTATAGCCCGTGTACTTATGTCTATGGAGTTAGAGAAGGTCTTCCTTGTGTCCAAGGAGCATGGTTTAAGTTGAAACCCTGAAAGAGGAATAGGAATTGAACAAGGGATGTAAAGTGGGATGGAATGAAGGAGGAATGTGGAGCAAGTGAGAAGAGTCAAGAGAAAGGGGAATGGAGAAAGAGGATTCCAGGTCAAGAATAGTTCATATTCAATGACAATATTACTTTCTCTAGATTGGACTCTCCTACATTTTTTTTTTTTTCTTTTTGCGGTACGCGGGCCTCTCACTGCTGTGGCCTCTCCCATCGTGGAGCACAGGCTCCAGACGTGCACGTTCAGAGGCCATGGCTCATGGGCCCAGCCGCTCTGTGGCATGTGGGATCCTCCCAGACCGGGGCGCGAACCCGCGTCCCTCGCATCAGCAGGCGGACTCTCAACCACTGCGCCACCAGGGAAGCCCTCTCCTACAGTTTTATATTATCTTTTCTTTTTCAGTTTGTATCTCTGGTTTCTAATGAAAGGCTTATCATATAGTAGGTGTTCAACAAATGAATGAAAAATGTCTGAGTGAATGTGTTTTCCCTTTTCCCAATCTTGAACCTCACTGATTTTTCTGGTGACCAAGATTCCAACGACTAGGCACTTAATAGTTTCAGGTTTAGGCATGCTGGTTTTAGGAAGCCCAGTTTAAAGTACAAAGTTCTCAACCCCTAAAAGAAAATAATACATTGACTCATATTCAGTCAATAGTAGAAAAATTTGAGACAATACTAGCATTTGAGGGTTCCCGAAAGCACTAGAGGTTCAGGACCTCAAAGAGGAAATCAGATGTTGTCATGCTTTGGCTTTACCTAAAACACTCAAATGTAAAATATCATCATTATTTGCTCAGTTCTCTAAAATGGAATTAAAAAATCCTTGCATCTAATTCACTTAATAACTTTTATGTTTGCACTTTAAACGGACATAGGAGTAGAAAGCTATTTATTTGTATGTGAATTTTTCTAATAAAATTCTTAAAGATGTGAGAGGTGAGATGCTATTCTATAAAGATAAAAATAAAAATAACATGAGTTTTTCCACAGGTCTATATAATCAAATGTCTAATTAGACAAAAGAAATAGGGACTTCCCTGGTGGTCCAGTGGTAAAGAATCCACCTTCCAATGCAGGGGATGTGGGTGTGATTCCTGGTCGGAGAACTAAGATCCCACATGCCGCAACTGAGCCCGTGTGCTACAATTACTGGGCTCGCGTGCTTCAACTAGAGAGCCTGTGTGCCACAAACTACAGAGCCCACGTGCTCTGGAGCCTGTGTGCCACAACTAGAGGAGAGAAAAACCTGCGCGCCACAACTAGAGAGAAGCCTGTGCGCTGCAACAAAAGATTCCACACGCTGCAACAAAGATCCCATGTGCTGCAACTAAGACCTGACACAGGCAAAAAAAAAAAAAAAAAAAAAAACAGTCAAAAAAGAAAATAAAAAAGAAATAAGCACAAACACACAATAACCAACCAAACAAAAAATATTTAAAAGTGAAAAAAAACAAGTACTTTATTTAAATTCCTAAGTTCTTAACTAGAGGAAGAAAGAAATGAAGGAAGGAAGGAAAGAAGGAAGGGAGGGAGGGAGGAGGTGAGGAAGAGGGGCAAGGAAGGAAGGATAATTTTTATTCCTGCTACCTCATGTCATAGTAAAATGGTAAAATGAAGTCAAGTCAAGTAGTCAACTTCTCACCTTCCTCCCTCCTTCCCCCCACGTAACACTTTGGTATGTATTATGCAAAAATATATGGTCATGGGTTTAGCCCACTTCCTGGGCTTTTCCCACCTAAACAGCTATATTTTCAAAGTCACTGAGTGCCTGACCTATCTTTGGCCCTGGCTCTTAAAAGTCATCAACTCCTCTAAAGCATCACATTGACTTTCTGATTCGTTCCCGTTCTATTCTGGTTAATCTGTCAACTTCTGGTTGCATTTTTGGTTCAAGGTCCCAACCATCGTCCTGAAGTTAGAAGTCAAGTGAAAAAGTCAGGTGAAGAGCAATTAATTATCCATTCATGAAGTAAGTATAGAGATCCTAATTTACTATAATTAAAAAAAAAATTTAGGGACTTGCCTAGCGGTCCAGTGGTTAAGGTTCCGTGCTTCCCAAGCAGCGGGCACAGGTTCAATCCCTGGTAGGGGAGCTAAGATTCCATATGCCCTGTGGCGCAGCCAAAAAAAAAAAGTTTTTTTTAAATCCCTGAGAATAGTACAGAAACCTGACCAATACGTCCAATAATAATACTCTTGTTTGACTATGTATGCATAGCTCTTGTTTCTGAGGTAGGGAGGGGCTGGCTGAAATAATTAGGAAAATGTGGTTTTTTGGGGCTGGACTTTGTGAACTTTTAAATATGTTCCTATCTTAGATTTGTTTAATTAGATTTTAGAGGAACAGTTTTGAGACCGTGTACCGCACATTGGGACTTGAGCACACGGTCTTTTAATTAGAATCACTCACCTGGTGACTAGACTTACTGAGGCTCAGGTTCTTTGTGTCTCAGCGCAGAAGGAATTCATCGAGAGGCAAAGTGATAAGCAAGTGGATTTATTAATACAGGATGCTTGTGAGAGATGCAAGTGGGCAGGCGAGGAGGCTCTGCCCTGAGGATGAAGTGGGCTAAAGTTTTATAATCAAAGGAAAGTGGGGGAGGGGAAAAGACCGCCTTCTCTGAGTAGACGTCAGGCTTACATCACTAGCTCCTCCTTCGTATTGGGCAGGAGAGTGTCTGACCCTATGATGTCAGACTGTCATAGCGCTTATTCAAATCAGTAGAAGAGTGGTAACATTTTTCTTTCACCTAATGACCTGGAGCATGTCTCATGCTTTTATTTATGTCTTCATAGTTAAGCAAGCCTGCTTTGTTCCACAACGTTCCGATAGCTTTCTTGAGCGATCATCATCTTACAGTGGTCTCCCATAGTTTCCTAGGTTTCCCTATCTATAATCACCTACTGGGATTTCTACAACTACCTGCATAACTATCCTATTCTATCCCTATCAGTTTCTCATTTGAAATTTGACATAGGTAAAGTGCCCTATTAAAGTATTAATGAATATATAGAAAACCACCCTCATTTTCAGTTATTGGCTATTGGACTTGACCCACGGTTGCTACAAATAAAATTAATTATAGTGTATTTACAACTAACTAACTAAAGACTCTGGGACAAGAAAATAGGGGAAACTGGGAAATAGAGGGGAGATAGAGCACATTTTCTACAAGAGAGCTCTCCTGGACTTCCCTGGTGGCCGTGGTTAAGAATCCGCCTGCCAATGCAGGGGACACGCGTTCAAGCCCTGGTCCGGGAAGATCTCACATGCTGTGGAGCAGCTAAGCCCTGTACCACAACTACTGAGCCTGCACTCTAAAGCCTGTGAGCCACAACTACTGAGCCTGTGTGCATGCCTAGAGCCCATGCTCTGCAACAAGAGAAGCCACCGCAATGAGAAGCCCGCAT